GGGTTTTACGACGCGTCACTGCGGCTCTCTATTTGCATGTATATCCGCCCTTTCCTGTCACGTGACCTGTTGGATTGTTTGGGACCGCGCGCCTTTCAGTGTTGGCGGGTAGACAACACTGCTTGCTGCTGAGCTGACAACAAGGATAATTTCACTCGATTTATAATCAAGAATATGTCGAACTGGACCAGAGGCAAACGACGTGAAACTCGCGAAAACGAACATGAGAATGGGCAAGTTTCACCTTCTTAAACCACCACGAGCCTCCATTGCGTTCACTTGATCGTAGACACCATATTAGCTAGAACTCATTCAGAATGGGATTATGTAAATGTGTTGCTAGTTTACCGACTACAAACACATTTACCTTTTTCAATTATGTATTATTCTCATAAATGAAGCCACACTGTAAGGCTGTGTTCATGTTTCAATTGACTTGTGTCCTGCGCTAACGTAAGTTAGCTTGATGCTCGCTTTGAAATGATTTTACATTAGCCTTGAAGAAGTTAGCTAATTTATTGTTGTGCTGTGTTCGCCACTGGGTGAAACGACGCTAGCACCGTGGCGGCTCTGCTCTATTGTCGGCGGGTACCGAGGAAGAGAAAACGGTGGTAAAGGCTAACCCCTGCTAAACAGGACTGTAGTGCAGCTGTATCGGGGGTTGGTTATAACTTCGTTATAACCTGATGTTTTTGCAGAGGGCTGAAGTGTTATTCACCACAGCAGAAGCTTCCTGGTAGGAACAGTTGGGGCTTTGGGGAATGACGGGCGTTTTGCCGCCAGTGTTCACGGAATATACCGGCAATGGTGTGCCCGGTTGCGAATAGCCATGAATGTGAATTGATAGGCCTCAGCACCCCCACCCAGACCCTATCGGATAGATAATGGATGGATGAACAGATGGCCAGAACAATCGCTAACAGGAAGTCAGTGGCGGGAGAACGACTTGTCAACTAACTACTTCTATTTCATTCACTAGCTGATTAGGTTATTGCTTGTACTGCTAGTGGCTATGGTTTATCTGAAAGAGGATTTAAAAGTGGTGTTTGGAAACAACCGAGAGCTACTTTTCAACAGTGGTGGAAAGAAGACAAGTACCCTTTACCCAAGTACAATTTTGAAGTACTTGTGCTTTACTTGAGTATTTTAACGTTTTGCTACTTTGTACTTTTACGCCCTGACATTTATTTAATACATTTAGTTACTTCACAGATGTTGATTAATGAGGTGCAATTTAATAAACACTTAAATCAGACTTTAGTTCCACCCGGAGTAAATTCACAAGCTACCCTGCAGTATACAAAGTCATTCAAACTAGCGGCACCTTTACCAGCTTTGAGAACACTTTCATGATCAATCATTATAAAACATATCATATATATTATTCTGAAATGGACCAATCTGCACAACGACTACTTTTACTGTCGCTACTTTCACTATATTTTGATGATAATACTTTTCTACTTTTACTTGAGTAACATTTTGAATGCAGGACTTTTACTGTAACAGAGTATTCCTACACTCTGGTACTTCTACTTTTACTCAAGTACCAGATCTGAGTACTTCTACTTTTACTCAAGTACCAGATCTGAGTACTTCTACTTTTCCTCAAGTACCAGATCTGAGTACTTCTACTTTTTCTCAAGTACCAGATCTGAGTATTCTCCCACCTGTGATTTTAAATCACTTGACCTTACCACGATTAGTTATAGATTAGCATATTATTCGTCCATTCGCCACCCAATAACAAAGACTGACCCAATTTCCGGAGTTGCATCTCCTGACCGTTTTCTGTGGAGTCGGCATTCACCCACTGTGTGTGTCTGAACAGATAGAAACAATGATTAGAGACACACTAGCACTGAAGGGCTACTAAATTGACGTTGAACCTAAAGTTCCATGTTAATAATATGCTATCTTTACTTGTCTCTACTGTGTAGGAGCTCTGGTCCGTCCCGGTGGTCCCACTGCAGGAAAAGAGGGGTCGACGGAAGCCTGCGGGCCAACAGAGAGGAGGACGCTGGTCGAGAAAAGGGTGGGCACTCCGACAGCAGAAATGCTAGGTAAGAGAATACAGCTGCAATAAAAACAGTACATTCAACTTGACACAATTTGCAACTTGCACATTTACCAGAATAGCAAAAAGCACTGCAGAGTGTGTACCAACGTGCAGATGAAATATCAGGGCTAGATATGAACAGTTTGTTTGACTTATTTCAGTAAGGTGATCTGAAGGTTAGAAGCTCTGGACGATCATCATTAAACCAAACTGTTAGCTCTATTTCTGTAGTATTTGGCAACAAGGGGTGAATGACCTCGTGATTATCTCCTTCTAGTATTCTCTTCTCTTCATATCCATCTTGTGTTTCTATCTCATCATTTGCCCTCTGGGCCAGGGATGGCTATTTGTGGCTTAAACTACATTTACTTGCACTGTGGCAACAGTAATTCCATTCCCCTCTGTGTGTTAATGCTGGTTCACCCCCCTTGTGCTTCCTCCCTAGTTTCACCACTCCAGAGGGCACAGGCCCGGTGTCTCGCTGCGGCAGAAAGGCTGACTGGGGCAGTCAGGTGGAGAATGATGAAATGAAGAGAGACGTACACAGAGACATGCAGCGGTAACCACACTCTGCTTCTATCCCAGTGGTTCACAGCACACTTTCCACTGAGTCTTGATTGTGACTGACTGTGTGTGCACTGTTCAGTTACAGGAGGAGGATACTGGGTGCAGAGGTCACCCAGAGAGAGAGGAAGATCTCCTCTGGCTCATCGGGGAGGTATGTCCACTTCTGTTGCACCTTTTTCATTGTTGGAGTCTGTGTGTGTGAGAACACCTGTCCGTCTGTGTTCCAGCTGCGACTCAAAAGAGGGGGAACACATTGAAACTGATGAGGCAGTGTTGCTAAGGCGACAGAAACAGATCAACTATGGAAAGAATACACTGGCCTATGATCGGTACATCAAAGAAGTTCCAAAGTAGGTCCACACACACACACACACACACACACACACACACACACACACACACACACACGCTACACACAC